GTAAGCGTGATGAGCATGCTTACGCACAACACCTACCCTAACTTCTGAGTAGCGTCACGGAAATCCTGCTGATGAGCACGCACTCATCAAACGTGTTCATCTACGGTCGCTAAAATGGACCGTTGAAGACCTACATGTTCCGAGAGGACTTCCATACGCTGTAATAGGCGATAGCGTATGCGGAACAAGAAGACTTCATCCTGAGACAGTCTCAGAATAACTCATCAAACTATCTTCCGACTAGATGACAGGAGCCGGACGTCCCGAATCAATGGACCTCTGTAATGTCGAGAGCGAGAGTTTTCGCTCTCTGATTCACAAGCAATCGGCAAGATGCCATTGCTGTCAGAAGATCGTAAATTACGCTCATGAGTGTAGTGTCCCAAGCACCGCATCGCGTCCAAAGACAGGACGTAATGAGTGCCGTGGGCCGAGGAAAGATCCAAGGCGCGAGTCTGGCCATGTCGCTAAACCGCAACGGTAAGTCAGACCGCCAAAAACGGACAGGGCCAGTAGGTGAGAAGCACCCTGCTGATCCAGCAACGTCAAGAGAATTTGTAGGACTCTTGACGAAGATTGCTCCCAACACACAGTCGCTGTGTGTTACTTCCCCTATTGATGGGGAGTCTCTCATAACTTTGAATATCGAAGTGACAAGTGGTATGTCACTTCGCGCCTTTGTTGACTGTGGGGCGTCGAACAGATTTATTCGACGCTAGTCGCTAGAAGATAGCAAAATTATACTATGCTTAGCTAGAGTTCCCTCCAGCGAGGATGACGGTGTGCCTTGCCAAAGGGGCATCCGTAACAGTGAACAAGCGTGTAGTGGATATCCTCTACACGCTAGAAGTAAAGCAGTACGATAATGACTTCATTGCACTGGATTTAAATGAAGAATTTGATGTTATCCTAGGAATGCCACGGCTCAAAAGATACGAGCCATTAATCCTATGGCAGCATCGATCCGTGAAGATGCCTGCCGTTTGTTCATCAGATGACCATTTAATGGACGCCTTGGAGCGTCCAAAAGCGTGTGGATGTACCTTGAGTGGCTGCGATTGCCTCACTTGTGGTACTGTCGTTAATATGACTGCACAAGATCACAGTGTAGAAGGCCACTACACTCTGGAACCAGCTTCCGGCACCTGTGCAGAGACACACAATGCGCCGAAAATTGACCACTCGAAGAGATCTAGTGTACCGGAACATGGATACAAACCAAGAAGGGTGCATACAAGAAGAGAGATGAGTTTTGTTCAGGATGAACAGCATGTCGAGGCAAGATCGAATAACAGAGAGTCAATCGTAGAGCAAGCCTGATCGACTGAAATAGAGTCGATCGAAGTGGACATGACTGTGGTAGTGCACCCACAGTCAGTACACATATTGTAAGAAAAAGCTCTAGCTTTTCTGATGTTGATAACACCCGAGAGAGTTATGCTGAGGGTGTGTTTTTCCCCTAATTATCTGCGAATGTATTTTCCCAGGAAATCACCGAGACACTGAATGTCATGGTGAATGACGGATTAAGTGTAGGCGCTTATACACTTGATCTGGTTACACTTCCGACGTCAGCTCCGGAGGTAATCAAGTTGCCTACGCTAGAATCTAAAATTTTATTTGCGAGATCTGCGTAGTGACAAGATCAAGCAGATCTGTGTACTCGTTACAGAGAACGAGTACGTCGCCGATATTCGGTCTGCACAAGTTTTACTGGGAAAGAACGGGTTCTCAGTAGCTCATCTATGGATGAGAGTGTCCTCGATCAGAAGACCCGGATTGAGCGATACACGTCTTAATCTTAGGAGTCTTTGAATACGAATCCTTTGTACAAGGATTCGGTTGAATTCAGGGATTTTTCCTAAATCCGTGCCATGCGAGCTGCTTAAAGGCAAAGGCACTCGACATGAGATCGAATGAAATCCGATTCGAAATACTATGTCATGAAGCAGTGGCCACTGCCTCGTGGACAGGTCACAGCGATCGACATTTTCTTTGCCGATCGTTTCGCGGCTGGTCATTTGAGGGAATCAACATCCCCACACAGCTTTCTGACCTTCTGTGTGCGAAAGGCCACAGAAGAGTGGTGGATAGCGCATGCGCTCAACAAATTGAACGCTGCAACGGTACCTGCTCAAATGCCGATACCGAGGAACGACGTCATCATTGATGGTATGGCAAAAGTATCATCTTTTCGTCCATGGATCTGATGGATGAATTCTGTCAGATACTCATGCGTGAACGGGACATCCCGTACACAACAGTGAGCACCCCCAGTGGTATGCTCTGGGAGTGGCCAGTGATGCCACAGGGCTAAGTAACGCCCCCGCAGCGTACGACCGATGTGTTACGAATCTGTTAAGACCGGTGCGAGATTTTGCACCGAGTTACTTTGACGATTTCTTCGTCCATAGCCGGGATATCAATGGAAAGACGGACGTGGATGTCCATCGAATCCACTTCCTGGCGGCTCTTAAACTAATGCGAGAGCATAAGTTGTTCGCGAACCTCAAGAAGTGTGTATTCGCAGCGATAGCAATACCACTTCTTGGCTGTATCGTGGGTAAAATGGCGTACCCCTGATCCGGAAAAGATCAAGGTGATTAGCAACTGGTCCGTGCCAGTTGACGTCAAGGGACTTCGAAAGTTCTTTGGCTTAGAGGCGTACTTGCACAAATACTCGCGCATCTACGCCGAGATAGCCGCATTTCTCTTTCTTCTGCTAAAGAAAAACGAGAGTTAGTCATGGAGTGCTGAGTGTCAGCATTGCTTTGAAGGCATCAAGAAAAGCTTGATACAATCGCCTGTGTTGGCGATTGCAGACCAGGACAGACCATTCCATGTGGTCTGTGACGCCAGCGTTTTGCGATCGGCTGCGCGTTAATGCAGTACGACTCAGACGGCGTTGAGCGCGTCGTTTGCTATCAGTCGCATCAGCTACAAGCAGCTGAGCGTAACTACCCAGTGTATTACAAGGAACTCCTTTCTATGAAATACGCTCTGGCTAAGTTTCGGTTTTATTTCTTAGGAGATAGGTCCTTCATCGTTTATACCGACCATGCGTCATTACGGACGGCCGTAAACAGTCCACACCTCTCGCAACGATCGTCGAGGTGGCTGTCTTTCTTCGCGTAGTACAAATTCTCCGTCAAGTATAAACCAGGCCGACTTAATGTCGTCGCTGATGCTCTTTCGCGTCGGCCCGATTTTCGAGCCGACCGCTCAACCCAACAGTAGGGGTGATACCACTGTAGCAACACTTACAGTGAGTGTTCCGTCATCGAATCTGCTCGACGACGTGCGGAAGGCATACACAGAAGATTAGTTTCTTCTGCGATTGATGGATTACGTGTCTAATCCATGCAGTCAAGCTTTGAAAAGCTTGTCGTCTTAATACCTCTCTTCAACCGAACGGCATTCGGTTCGTGATGGACTGCTGTGCTGTACAGCAGTCCACGGCGACACAACTCGAGTCGTCGTTCCCGCTTATGATGATTTGCGATTGCGCATGATGTATGAGTGTCAAGATGCCCCAACCAGTTGGCATCGCGGTAGAGAAAAGACTTACCTCACGGTAAGTCGTGACTTCTACTGGTTCCGCCACTATGAGTTTTGCGCAAAAACATTCGCACTTGCGAAGTTTGCCAGCGGGTGAAGCCTATTCATTCATCCCGTGCAAACTTGCAGACTCTACCGATTCCGGCAGAGTGCTGGCAGTCCGTATCGATGGACTTCGTCTTTGGGTTTCCCAAAGACGCTCACAAGAATACTGATATTCGTGTGTTTGTTGATCGGTTCAGCAATATGGTACATCTTGTTTTTGTACCGGAGTAAATCACAGCCGCCCAGGGCTGTGCTCGTGTCTTCATCGATACTATCTTCCGACTTCACGGGTTACCCCGCAAACTCTTGTCCTATAGGGACCCCCGCCTCACAGCGGAGTTCTGGCAATCCATAATTTGTTCACTTGGAACACGTTTGAAGATGACAACTTCAGACCATCCAGAAACAGATGGTCAGACGGAACGCGTCAGCCGCGTCCTCGAAGAGATACTTTGAGGTTATGTCCACTCGTTAGCGAGATACTTTGAGGTTATGTCCACTCGTTAGTGAGTTGGAACGAGTTCGTGCCGATTTCAGAATTGCCATCAACAACTCCGTGCATGCGTCGACAACCCATACACCGTTCTTCGTGAATGGCCTACGCCATCCACGTTTGCCCGCCTTCTTAGAGTTTGACTCTGGTTTGGGGGGGGACTCGCTCGAACGAACGATCTGGTTCTTGCTCATCGCACATCGACAATGGTGCAGACGCTACGGATGCCGATGTCGATCACATCGACATCGATTATGATGACGACGAGGATACTGGTATATTCATTGTCGCCAATGACTTCCCCGTGTGGAAGATAACGCAATCACTGGTGAAGACAACGTTCTGTCAGCAGTGCACACGAAGCGCACTCTTGTTAACAATAACAAATAAGCAGAGGGATTTCTGCTGACTCGCGTAGCGGTTGTTCGTACCATTTCAGACTCTGTTGCAGACGCAAGAGACAGACACAAAAGAAACGCAGAAAAACATGGAAGAGCAAATGTTCTTTCTTTTAGTGAAGGAGTTTTAGTTTTACTGTCTACATTAAATTAACCAAAACACGCAGTGACAAACGTGGGCAGTAGTATATAACTGCCCAAGTTTATCGGTCCATCTCGTGTGTCGCGCCGAATAAGCAACGCATGCAGGACAGAACTGTTTCGTATAATGCGTACGCATCCAACGTTCTACGTTATACGTCTCCGTCCGTACTATTAGTACAAGCCCGTTTCGAGAGGCGAAGAACACCTCTGCAGATGAGGGCCGATACCACCTTCGAGTGGTTCCGTTTAAACGAGCCAGTCTGGTCGGCTAGCGAAGCGATCTGCTCACGCAGTTGAGCGATAGACTGACGAGCTGCAGTCAGCTCGTCACGTGGAGAACTAATCAAACGTTCGTTCTCCAGTTACTCAAACGTAAATGCGGCACGATCGTCCGAACGATCGTGCGCGAAGGAATTGTAATTATCCTTTACAAGGTCATGGAGCTCGTAACGCCGAGTCCGTTCATGAGCCCGTTTATCGTGTTGCTGTTCCGTTACACGGTTCAGTTCCTGATCATCAAGCTGATCCGACCCTCGAGCCGGATCGGGTGTTCCCGCCACAACCACATCCTTTGGTGGATTCTGGCGGTGGTAAACGATTTCTGGTGGAGCGTATCCTGAACCACCGCGACGTGAATGGCGTCCGGACGAGTTACCTCGTCCGCTGGTGAGGCGACCAACCGACCTGGGACAGCTATGAGCCTCGTGCCCAGCTGATTGCTGATTATCCGGGTCTCTTCGAGCAATATAACGAGACCCACCCGCTGCGTTCGAAGAAGGGCCGTCGGAAAACGACCTCGTCGAACGCGAGCACAGGGATCGCAAAGTGCCAATCTCTTCGGCCATCCCAGAAGTGATGCGCGCCCTCCAGTAGGGAACTTTAGAGAGGTAGGCCTCCCTAAGGACACGGTTCGAACTGGCCAGGCAACCTGGATACGGTTCGCCCCACAAGAGACAGGTTTGCCCTGCCTTTCTATGCAGCCGATGCAATTTGTATCGTACCCCGACTGGGTTACACTTCTTCCTGATGCGAGCTGCACCAAGTTTATCTAGCCAGGCCTCACGAAAAATACACTCGATGTCATGGAGGAAGGCATTCCATCCTTGCGCTAAGGCCTTACCGTAGCGGCCACGGCTGCCATTGTACCAACGATGTTTGAATAACACATCGGTAAAGAGCTCGTCCTCAGCACGGATAGTTTCCGTGCTGGAATTAGGAGGACAGATCATCCTACAGCCGAACAAAGGCATTCGATCCCGTTCGGTGGTCATATCGGCCACACGATCTGACTGCTCGAATGATGGCATCCAAGGAGACTCCACATGAGGAGGGTGGCGCAGGACATTTCGATCCCTGGCCTCTTGAGTGGTTTCAACACGAGCACTGACACCAGTGGTAGCTCGATCGCTCGAGTTGCTTCACTCGTGGTGATACACAGGGGCATCACCACCATCACTACGCATCCTATTGTCAGATGGACTTGCGTGAGGTGAGGATTCGTCAGAAGAATCGCTTGGTCCGAAGATCTCGGACATGATAGCGCCAAGTTCCCCAGAGACAGTCAACCTGGCTCTTGCAGTATCCGCCCCGGATGATCCGGAGGCATGAGGTTTCGCCTTCGAGTCGGACACATCTTCCGGATCTCCTGAATAGATAAGCTCTGTTTCAGGATCATTCAAATTGCGAGTCGCATTACCCGCTGCAGACGCAGCGGATGTATCTGTCGTACATGGTGACTCACCACGTGAGCTAGTCGCAACAGGCACTGCCTGTTGCTCACTTGAAACAGCAGGAGAATGACCACCTCCTGATAATGCATGAGAAGTACTCTCTTCGGTTGCACACATGCGTGCAACCGCCTTTTTGGCTGCTTCGGCAGCACATCGAATGGATTGTGACATCACGCAATGAATTGGCAAATGAGTTGCAACATGACCAACAAGTGTTCCCCTTCCCAGAGTAATCCAACGGTAATCACCCTGTCCCAATCAATTATGTTTGATCAAAGGTTGATTAATGATATGGGGGGGGTAAAGTAAAGGGGTGGCCCGTTGCATAAAATTGACACCAAACGGGGTCAATAGGAAGATCCTCTAGCGTGACAATCTCCTGCCAATTTTACCTGAGATTGGTATTACTGAAGGAACAGTATCCTATTTTGGATAATATTCATGCGCTGCTTACACATTGATCGTTAAAAACATGTCAAGCCGATGTTACCGTCAACCGCTGCTAGTCGCGCGCAAAGAGTGGTGAGCAGGTTGTCGTCATAAGACAATGCAGATTAATACCAAGAAATAAAGACTGAAGTTACATTGATGGTTTACTAAATTAAATACGGGTCTATTTTTTCCTTTACCTAAACGAGCTGTTAGAGTAGATCAGCGCCTTCTTCTGCACGAACTAGTGTACGTGAGGTTTCGTGGCACCCAAACAAAGATGCCCCGTTACAATCCGGACATCAGGAGAAAATCATTTCTTGTAATATATCCGGGAAGCGCCGGTCTACAAGTGCTGAGAATATTGCATTACATTTGTTTAATTATCTAATCTGATCTTTCTCACTTACCCGAATAAACACTGTTTGAATCGGGTTCACATTCAACAGCAAATTATCGTATAAAACATTTCTACTCGTACTTGCCTCATGTAAGGTTGGTCCATTTCTTTTATGTCAGTAAATCCGGAACTTTCCAAATCTAGACCGTCCGATATCACTATACTTCGTTTTTAATTAACAACACTCTATCACAGTGTCTTGACTCGTTGTCCCAGTTTGTGAAAATTCATTTACATATGCAATGGGTTTATCGAAGCATTTGAGCTGCCGAATATCTGACCTATCTACAAAATCCAGCGTGCCTCGAAGAATTTTCGATATTCATCTGGCCGGCTGCGTCTACAGATGGTGTATCGCTGCAAAATTTTGACGTTTTCGCCCTGCGACTATGCCATCGAAACTTTCAATCTGTCTTAACTGTTTTGCTTGTTTTTACACTCTAAATTCCGTCCTTTGCATTCGATTCGATGTTTCCTGTACGGGCCTCAGAGTCGTCGTATTCCACTTTCGTCGTTTGCACAGTACAAAAAAATGTCCTGATTGACGTCTCGAATGACCTTGCGTATTCGTCCATCTTATGTGCATTATGACATGGCTCCTCAGCTGCATCGCGTTATTATCTATTCAGCTACCTACCACTTGTTTTAATTCTATTGCCGCATTTCTTGAAGCTATTGCAAGCGAAACGGTTTACACCAAATGCGTACCCTTAAAAAAACGTTGGCTCATGGGCCTGTACTGCAATCAGCTAAAAACCTATTCAATGGTAGTAGTAGTAATTAAGCTATACTTATATCATAAATTCCATGTGACATGATCAGGAGTATATCCCGGTACAGCAATACGAGTTGTATATGTCGACTTCAAATTTTTAGTTGTAGCGGGGATACTTAGCGCTATTTAACAGAGGAAAGCTTGTACTCAAAGAGACTCTTAGTAGAACAAGCTAACAATGACGTAAATTCGTTCACGCGTACATCATTAACAATCTCGGTTCGAAAGGGGTTACGATTTGCACAATCATGTACTAAATATTCACTACTAGTTAAACAAGATCAAGCGCCTTTACAATGCTTAGGCTCTCTCAACACACTACGGCTTTTACTAGGCACTTGTGTCCAAATATTCAAAATGGGAATTAAGCTGTACTTATTCTATAACTACGGCAATAACACCTTATCTGAAAGACTTCTGCATTGCGATCCCATGACAGAAGTCTTCTCCGTTATCTCTAACCGATAAGGTGCAGTAATACCATACGTACATGGTATCAATACTGTAATACTCCGATCCACCGATCATTACTTGGTGTGGACACACAACATAACCGGTTTAAAACCACAGCTTGTTAACAGAAAATTCAATGGCACCGTGTGATACCATTAAAATTTTCTGTCTATAAACTTTCGACACCTAAGTTCCGACAATTCTTTAACTTCTCTTTTGAGACCCTAAAGCTCTCGTCCTGACCATCGTGTTCACAACTCATCTCAATATAACTGAGCCAAAAAATGTAACTAATACCTTTAAAGCGTTCCTCGATGATGGGATGGTGGACTATGAGAGTGACATCGTCGTGTCAAGTGTCGATGACCACCCTCCACCTATGCCACCGGCGCGTTACACCACGAGCGTCTCGCCTTATTCATTCGTCAAACACGAGGAGATACCTTCATCCTTAAAAGAGCGTGCAGCCGTCGACCCTGCTTTGGGTGTGTTGTTAACCACTTTAAAGAATACAAAGTTTAATATCTTCGGCCATTCGGTGACCGTAGGCTTCAAGCACAATGTGTAGCCACAGCTTATGCTCACAGTGGATACCGCTTCACACAACCTTGTGCGGATGAACATTCTCTAGACTGTCGCACAGTCACTCGCAACATGGGCCACGGTACTTTAGGCTGCCACAGCCAAAACACTAGAGGATAGACAAACTCTCGAGGGAAATGCATGGGTGTCGACCGTACGATTGTCCAAGTTTACCTCGACAGGCTAAATCTGCGAGCACGAGGGGCGTCAGTGTCCACCATGCGGACAATAGATGTCGTTCTCATTCCTGTTGAGACAGATTTAGATAATGATTTCGCCTTTACGCATTGGGCTCACAGAGCAAGTTGTCGGCTGATCCTGTCGAATCTTCAAGAGAGCGCTTCACTTGCCGACGTTCGGCTCGAAAAAAAGAAGCGCTTTGTTTCACAATCAAAAGGCCAAAGGCCAACAACGATCGCTCTATCAGACATGCTAATCTGCGGGAGCTACGGACCCGCGCATCGGCGGACCAGCTGCAGCTGCAACCGTCTCTACTCCCTCACCAACTAGTGGGAAGCGGTAGGGGTCGACTGACCCTGGATACGACGTTCAATAACGTCAACGGCACACTGACAATCCCACCGCAGTGGATCTTCTTATTCTCATGAGTTACCTGACTCCGGGTACCCTCAACACTGTACCAAGTACTAGTGCTCACCGTCGCGACGAATACGCTGCAGGAGGTGTTTAACATTTTTGTATTGATCTCCTTGTTTGTCAACGATATTTAGTGGTGATCGATGAATCTCGACGCGTCGTTGATGAGTTAGTTCACGAGGTGCACGCTCTAAGTGACCGAGTGGCGCGTCTTGAAGGGCGATAGATCTTCTTTTAATAGTACCATGACTTGTGGAATCGCTAACTCTTTCGGCGCCAGCGCCTCGTAATTTATTAGTGACGGATTAAAATAAGGCTTATGCAAGCCGACGTAAATCACTAAATGTGTTGTCATCTTGCGTGGGAGGTTGAGCGTATAATCTAGGCCCTTTTTGGCCACAACTGTAAAATTGTCCAATGAATCGAGGACGCAATTTGGTCACGTAGACCGCTGACACCACCGTGGTAGGTAAAAACTTAGCATTAGGTAAGACTAGGTCTCCAACTTCCTGACTCTCAATGCACTTTCTGCCTTTTGCATCCCCTTAATTCTATTCTTTTTCCTGGCTATCAGCCATTGCTTAATGTACATATCGTAAGATATCCAATCGCGTAGCTAGAAACTCGCTGACCTGTTTCTGAACAGTAGTTGGGCTGACAGCAGCAAGCCGATCGGCTAATGTTCGCCCACCCAACCCAAAACGTCGTAGTGGAAGCATTAACGGAACGCGTGGTCGAGTCAGACAATCCACGTAGATTGGATTATATCCAGTAGATGCATGAACAGCGTTAAGTACTGCAAACTCGACCACAGGGAGCATAAAGCTCCAACGCCCAGGCGTATTAGCAGAAAACTGCGCGAAATGTCACCAATGATACGGTTAAAACGTTTAATTTAGCCGTTGGTCTGCGGATGATCCGCTGTGGACATGCCCAACCTGATGCTCGGCACCTTGATGAGAGTTCAAACCCTTGCCAGTGAAAGGTAATTCAAGATCCGAGACGATTGCTACAGGCTATCCGTGCCGACGAAACTCACATTTGATAAAAGCTTCTCTGTATCTCACCATCAAAGGCACCAGAAACAGCCGCTAAATGAGTTCATTTGCTCAAAACGTCAACAATTACCACAATGCAAGTGCTGCCCTTCGAATCCATCGATAGGCCAAACATAAAGTCCATACTGATGTACTTCCGAAACCCAGTGGGTACAGGCAAACTAGCACGATGTGCAACCGCATGTGCTGAGGGTTTGACCCGTTGACATGGTTCATATATACGCACATAAGTACTCACCCATTTGTACAGCTTAATCCACCAATGAGTCTAGCTGACTAAGTTGAATTTCTTCTCACGACCGAGACGACCGCTTTAAGCAGTTTCATGTGCCTTAAAGAGGATAAGATACTTCAGGTCCTCATCATGATAAACAACGATGCTAGGCACATCCTCAACACCCGTGGAAAAGCACATCAATCTACCATGAATGACATTTTGATGTAGATTCGCACGTAAACGTGCCGACAATTTGAATTCTGAGTCTTTAAACTTCTCGCTTTCAATAGCATTTATAAACGCTACACATTGCTCATTACGTGCACATGCCGCAAGAATTAGATCATAATGGATGATGACATACGTTTGCGTGACAACGCATCGGCCAAATTTATAAGCTTGCCCGGCTTATACGTCACCTCGAAGTTGTAAATAGCATTAAATGAAAGCCATAGGTTCGTACGATGTAATAGGTGGAGTGGCTGTGGATCTGTGTGCAATGACGCATGTAAGCAAAGATAAAAAGGCTTTGATTCAAGTAGATGGAATCTGGAACTCAACAAAAGCATGTTTCAATGCGAGTAACTATTTGTCGTGAATTGGATA